TCCCCTCCTATATATATATATCCGCCCACCCTATATCTGTAAGAACTTGAACATTCGACAAAGTACATGATGTTCTAGAAACGTTGCGTCACTGTAGTCATGTGACTGCTGACGCAACAGTAGCAACAATCAAATAATACTGTTTCTGAGCAAAGAACCATCAACTTCAAAAGATATAGAATCAAGCTTGTTCCCTTGACCAGCTTTTAAATCTCTCTTCATTTACTTTTAATACGCGCATTCCATCGATTACAGCTATATATCGCATTTTCTCAACAGGGAAAATCATTTTGAAGTAAAAAAAAGAGCTGGATTGATAGATAACAACTTCGAGAAGCTGATGCTACTGAAATTAAATAACAAATTAAAACAATAATAAAACTGAACAAATAATAAGGGCCGTAATATCTTCTAATATTAGAGATTTATTATTTCATATTAGCTTATTAATTCATTTATTATTATTATTATTACTGTCATAATATTGATTTATTTTTTAACCTTAATCTTTTTATGTAATATAATTGAATGTATCGAAGGCTGTATGGTTAGTAGCAGCTTTCCGCTCATCATTCACAAATACAGATAGGCTGTTTTGAGAATTCTGTATTAGGTTATTGTTGCAATAAAGTATTACCATTTACCATGAAATTTGCGTTTTTCATTCTTACATTATCGACTGACAAAAAAAATTATCGTTAACAATGTCAGTTTCAAATATAGCGGTAGCGATAGCGCCGCTATATTTATAAATATTGCAATTTGTACTATCATAACGTCAGTAAAACGAGAAGAATTATACACTTTGTGGGTTACAGCACAGCATAACATATGGACTTCGAAAGCAAGAAATAAAATATTTTTTACTCATAATTTTATTTTATTTACTCTTGAAACAGAACATTTTCGAGGACCCTGCGGAAGTACATCTAGTTATATATGTATATATATAACATATATCTATATTGGTAATTCATGTGCTTATATATGCATAATTTAGTTTTAGTTATTATAGGATTACTGGTTACGTTCGCTTACTCACAAAAACTGGCGTGTTAACATGTGACGTGGTAACGACAAAATATGTTTACTAACAATAACCACAATAACGTATGTGTGGGTGGTTTCACTATTTAGTTTTCTGTCAGTTTTTACTTAATTAAGCAGGTAATTTATCATGGATGGATTAATTATTATCCTCATAAGTGCAATTTCTTTGATAGCAGTTTTGTTGATTGCTACTACTTTTTTAAGAGGACGCCCTTCAAAAACGGGTAGGCCTAAAAAACGTTTTTTACTGAAAATGTAGCACTATACTTTTTAGTTGGTAATACTAATAGTAGTAATAATAATATCAGTGTCCTAAGTTAAAAAGAACAAAGTTAGCAATTGGAACGATAAAAATGGAGAATTTGTCTTAAAAATTGAAGTATAAAAAATCAAAATGAAAAATATATTATTTAACATATACAAGTTAATGTTGCTGTACCATCTAGTTCTGTTACTATTAGTATTAAATTATAAGTTCTATGTTTATAACATTAATAGTGTATGTAATTTAATAAATTGTTAATGTGACATGTATGTTGGTCTTACGCTGTGCAGTCTCACATTTGAACATTTATGGTGCAGGCATATCGTTATCAGGCAAGGTGTAAGCCTACCATTGCCCACCTCAAGGTTTTTTTTTAACCCAATAGATTAAAATATCTATAGACTTTAGAAATATATAAGAGTTAGAAATTTGGTTTAAAAATAAATTGGAAATAAAAGTACTTATGAGAAACAGCTGGCTGATTATGTTAAAACTACAGCAAGGATTTTTTAAAGTATGTTAAAGGTAGAAAGATTAAAATTGATATTGGTCTCTTAGTCTAAGTTAAAGAAGGCTGATGGCAGGGTCATGCTGAAGATTGAGAGATGGCTGAGTATTCAGTATTTTCTTCTGTTTCTATTGATGAATATAGTAGAAATATTTCTGACTGTACAGTATTCTATGAAAAAATATTGGAATTGACCTTAATCACATAAATGTTAATCCCTTTATAATTATAGTAAGTGGAAAGGGTGAGAGATTAAAAATAGAAAAAGCACCAGAAACAAAGCTTTCCTATGGTTTTAAAGGTGGCAGATGTAATTACCAAAAAGGGATAAAAAAAAAAGAAGTGCATATATTAAACACAAAAAGGACAGAAGACAAAATTATTTATGTTCCCTTAGTGGACATTAATGCACATATGGTGTCATCAGAACACATGTGCATGGGCCTTCCTGGAAGACTACTTGTTATCTGGATGATGGAAAGAATGTGGACTTGGTTTACTAAGATTGTTAAAGACCTTTGATATGGTATCCACAAAAGATTAACTAAAAAATGGGCTTTGTTAAAAGGTTTTTTACACTAGCCAGGAATTTGAAGATAGTTGTAAATATTCAAAAGTTCATGAGGCAGCATTCAAACAGTGTAATTTTTTTGTTCTGTTGTTAACAGAAACCATTTGACAAGGTTTGAAAAGTAATCACACATTAAATGTTATTTACATGGAAAATTCCATCATTTAATTTGCATAATGCTCATTACTTCAATGAAGTTGTTGTAATAACAACAAGAAAAACAACTCATATCACAAAAATGTGATACTTGGCAGCTCCTATCATGCATTGGAGCAGATCATTATGGTGAGGCACAAGGGGATGTATTTAGTATCTGCATTGCTTCTATAAAATGTACCTGTTTCCTAGTGTAGAAGATGTAAGAGAAGTAATATTTTCTAACCAAAGTGTTAACATTACTCTGTTGTGTTTTGCTGTTTATTTATAATTCTTGATATTATTATTATTACCTATTCATTTGGCTGATGCATTTATTCATGGTATATATTTAATTAATCAACAACATTGTGTAAAAAATGTTACTAATAATAACACTCTCTTGGAACTTTTTGTTGTACTTGAAGACCCATATTTATTTTGTGATTGAACTGTTGGTGTTACTGTGTTCTGTTTTACTGTTTATTTATTATTATTATTATCAATCAACGATTTTATGTTAAAACAACTATGACTGATAGCCTGTGCCTGGAACAGTGTTTTGTAAGTAAAGATTTTTTTTTTGCTTAAGTCAGCTATAGTTATTTTAATTGGCCTCAGTAGGGTACCATGTATGAGTATCACACGTAGCATCAAATATGTGTACATAAACAACATTTTTCTTTTAAATATAAAATATTACTACTGTTCTATATAACATATTTAAACTACATATGTGTTTTATTTCATTTATATGCTTTACCTGTAAAATAAAATGACTTTCAATGAAATTTAAACTAGTAGTTATGGTGGAGTCATCAGTTCATTATGCAAATTAACACTATCGAAGGTTTAAACCTTCAAAGGTCAAAATGTGCTTTTTTGTACTTTACAAAAAAAATCACATTGTTTGAGGTTGAAGGAAGACTTGTTAATTAGATTGTAGGGTGATTTAATGGAAGAAAGCAAAAGGTTGTTATTAATGGAATCCAATCAAACTGGATCTTTGATACTAATGGAGTTCTCTAGAGTCAGTTCTTGGGCCTTGCTTTTTTTTTTTTACATTAATGTTACTGATATAGACATATTTAGTAGATTGGTCAAGTTTTCTGATGATATTAAACTCTGAGGTACTTCTATCTGTATTGAGGATGTTGAAGTACTACACGATGAGTTGGTTCAATTAGCAAGTTGAACAAATATTTGGCAATTGATTTTTAATTATAGTAAGTACAACATGGGGGGGGGGGTAAATAACCCCCCTTTTGAATCACAAATAGATATTCCATAAGCTGCCACTGGACTTGAGAAGACCTACCTCCAGTATATACCCAGCATAATATTGAGAAAGGTAAAAAAAAAAAAGGCTTCACTGTCAAAACATTATTACTTATGGCTTTATATGTAGCATGGACAGGTATCTTATTAAGTCAAAGATATCAACAAGTGAAGAAATAAATTATTTTATCCCAGAAAACAAGGGATTTTTCTCACTACTGGGTAACTTGCAAGGCCATACCAGACAACCTTTTTGACCCATATAAGTTATTAGACACTTTGCTTTTAACTGATTGTACAAGGGGTTGTTCTGCAAGGCTTATGTCAAACATTTTCTCTGTATAGTAGATACTTTGTTTGCAGCTTCAAGGAATTTCTTGGTGGGCAGCTTTTGCTTAGTAAATTTTACCTGACATTATATTTTCTGAATATCTGACAGAACAGGTCACTTTTATTACGGTTTCAAGTTAATCAGTTTTTTATTTCAGTGGAATAAACTTTACTATAATTTAATGTTTTCAGTTAAATGTTTCAAATATATATGCAAGGAAAGGAAAATATTATTTTACAACATCTACTTGTATTATGGATTAAGTGGCTTCCTTGGCATACTTTAATGTTACACTTTATACATTTAAATGATTAAAACATTTTGTGTTGTTCAAGATAAAATCTGTTATTACATTCTAAAAGCATTTATTTTAAAAGTACTACCAGGGTCAAGAGCAGTACCAATAAATCGTGAAGATGCCCAAGGACCCAGAAGGGCAGTTAGAAATGTCCGTCACCGCATGCGAGCTGCAGCTGCTAGGGAGCAAGAAGGTGAAGAAGGTATACCAAACCAGATATATTTTTAAAAATTAAAAAACAAAATAAATCATTTAGGAAACAGTGTTAAAATAAAAAAAAAAATCTGTAAATGCCACTTACAGTTTAGAAAAAAAATTACAACAACAGTGTGGTAAACATTTTAGACATAGATGAAAGTGTTAAATTCATATAATGTATGATTTTAAATACGTAGGGATTTGTATATGATAGGAAGAAGATAGTTCTTTGAGGCTGTAAAGGAAGGGGGGAATAGTTCAGTGTACTGTAAAAGAGAAAGATATAATTTTGCCTTAATAAATAGGGCAGGCTCAGTAAACTTTTCTGTGCAGTTTTTTAGAATGATATTCAGCTTTTTTAATATGGTGTTTATGGTGAATGTATTTTTCAAAAATTAAAAGTATTCAAATTAAATGTTTTAAGATAGTTTGATGATTAAGTTGTCAAATAAATATAAAAATAAGCTAATATAACTAAACTGTTAGTTAAATCAAACAATTGATCAAAAATTCAGTATATTATAAACACTTGCATTTTTCTTTCTTTGCAACCTGAATTGAAAACATTGTTGTATCTTTACATATATATTGATCATAAAATAACTATAACTATGACCCAAAAAAAATAGATGTTTAAAATTCAGTATGCCTGAACAAAATATAGTTTTCTAAAAAATGTTAAGCCATGAAAAATTAAGTAGGTAAAGATGACTAAAGACTCAATAAAAGTGTCCACCAAACTCTTCATTTAATTGAAGCAGATGAGAAAAAAATACCTATTATTATTTTGTTTTTCAAGAAACAAAAATGAATAGTTTATACTTTATAAACAGATAAGTTAGAATATAGGAAATAGTTTTGATTAATTAAACCAAAAGTTATATGTAATATTTTAAACACAAATTAAGCTTAGGTTACTAATTTCTTACTTTACAAATTCTTATGCAATAAACATGTATCCTTTAGTGGTTCATCCCATTAGAAGCCTTTCTATATTAGTTATTACAGTATTATTTAGTTCTAATAAATATCATCTGTTTGGCAGATGAAGAGGACACATTATTTGATGAAATTGCTATGCCAGAAGGGAAGGTAGGAGCCAAAAAGAGAAAAAAACTTGAGATGAAGGCTGAAAAGAGAGCTCAGCGAGAGGTAAGTACCACATCCTTTATCTAAGTTTGTGCATAAGAAAATGTACACATTTGGTTTTATATTTTGTCTCTTGATTGTAAAAACAACTATAAGGCACATAATTAAGTTCATTTTTACTAGTACTTTTTACTTTTCTTAAAGACTGAAATATAATGAAGGTTAAAATAATGTATTTTTCGATAGCACATGGTGATACCAATTCTATTTTTTTTTTACTCTATGCACACATATGTTATGAAGTAGGTTTTATTAGTGAATTTATCACAAACTTCTTCAATTTAATAAAAACTTATATGGTGCAGAAGATGACATCCATTTTATGGTGGAACTGACTAGTTCTATAATCTCTGGTAGAGCAGTAAGATGTGTATCTTTTTTTTGAGGTGCCAACTTGACTTGTCTTTGATGTTCTTGCTAATTAAAAAATACTTCTGTTGTCCATAAATGTCAGTAATGAAGTTTTGCCACAAAAATGTATGAAATGCTTACAAGTCATATTTTTAGTCATCTTCAGTCATGTAAGTCAATTTAACTTGCCAGTATTTTAAGATGCATTTACAAAGTTACTCAGCATCATATTTAATTTAAAATTTTTGTATATATATATATATATATATAAGAAAATCAATTAAGTTATATTTAGATTTACTTTTCATGTAAGAAGTCTTTTATGAAACAAAACTTACAATTCTTTCTTATGAATGGATTTTACTATGTGATATTGGGAGCTTTCTGTTTATCCATTTAATCAGATATAAATGGAATTATCATGCCTTATACTCTTAGAAACTCATTGCAACAAACTAAAAACAACAAGTAGAATGGAGTTAAGCTAAACAGCCAATAAGATCTTAATAATGCACATAAGGAAAGCACTACTGTGACTAATGATTCAATTAATTCTTTTTTGTTTTTCAGAGAGAAGAGGAGGAACGAGAGGAAAGGCGCCAACGAAATGCAATGTTAGAAGAAGAAAGAAAGAAAGAAGAAGAAAAACAAAAAGAGGAAGAACAGAAAAGGGTGATTATTTTCTAAAACTTTGCATTCAATTTCTTTTAGGAAACTATTTTCAAAATACTGAGCAGTTGAAGATTATGAAAAAGAATTATGTTTTATGATTAGATAGAAAGACAAAAAATAATTTTTCTATTAAATATCTACATATTTTGATGAAGTGTCTCGTGCAGTTGATATTAAGATGTGATTTCGATAAGGTGCAGTTGAAAGTTTTCTTCCTATAAATCCTTTTTATTTTTATTAAAAGGTAATCCACAAATGACAAAAGTTGTGTACTGATATTATTAAACATGTAAAATAAAAATTGTAGAAGTTGCCTGCCCAGATAATATATATTTAGTCATATGAAATTTCATCATGGTGGTACCTGATGAGTTGTCAGTTGTTGTTTTTTCACATTTTCACTAAATGGTACCTACACATGAGTGTAGAAGTGATACAGTTTCTAACACTCCCACCAATATTTTTGTTTGCCTACTACAGCAAATTCTACAGTGTTTATTTTGCATGTTTAATTATACCAGAACACAACTTGTGTCATTTGTCGATTACTGTTTAATAAAAATAAAAAGGATTTATAGGAAGAACAGAAGAGATATACACATACACTGTGATGTTTGTTATTCATATACACGACATATATAATAAGTTTTGTGGCAATATTAATGGATACATCTGTATTACTTTTGGAGCATATTTCTCTAATACAAACAAAATAGAGAGAAAAAAAGGTATAAAATGTTGATACCAAATCTATGGAAAACTGTCGCAAGCAACTTAATTTGGCGAATAAACTTTGCACTAATTTTAGCAGTAGTACGAACACTGATTGAAATTCAGGTTTTTTTGCACTGTAAAAGTTAACATGGAGAATGAATGTGGTTTTATTCAGAAGATATTAGAAACTAGTTGGAACTGAAGAGCAATTATAATTTTAACTGTGAAAGTGCTACACTATTTTTACTGGAGCAAAAGAATATCAAACAAAAATGCCCAAGTTGCATTTTCTATATGAATGATAGCAAAATCATTTTATTCCTGTTACTGTGAAAACATAATTAGATGATTGTATATTTATTTATTTTATAACATGTTGAATAATTTGGTTAGATTGCATGCAGATATTAGAAGTGTATTAAAGCATGCCTTACGGTGAGTGTAACAAGATCTTAACTTAGGCCAGTGATGAAGAAAGCTTCCATACAACAGAGCTTACTCATTCATAAGCAGAGGCTTCAACTTAACCAAATCAGTTCAGCATATAATTTATTGCTTAGGTTACTGTATGCATAATCATAGATATCTTCATTTTTGTTTGCAATAGTTTTGATTTCATAATAACACATTGTATAAAACTACAGAGATAATTTGTTGAAGCAGAATGAGGGTGATAAAGGAATTATTTCAAGTTAACTTATCAGAAGTATTTTAATTTCACTGATACATTGTTGTGATGAAAACTTTAATGAATAATACTTATAAACAGCTTGTAGTTACAACAAAACAATATGTAAAATAAAGAGAATATAATTATTAATTATTACAATGATGTAATTAATCAAAATAATTTACGAAAGATAGTTTAGATTGTTTAATTGTTGCTGTAGTAATACAGTTAGGCTTATTTGTACTCTGATATTAAAGGAAGAAGAAGAAAAAAGAGTGAGGGAAGAAAAAGAAAAACAAGAATATGAAGAATATTTAAAGATGAAAGAGGCATTTAGTGTTGAAGAAGAAGGATATGATGAAGCTGCTGATGAACAAGAAGTAAATCATTATAAATATATTAATTGTAAAGATTGCTAATTCTCAGACTATAGAAATTATATTTTCAGCAAAGTTTTTTTTTAACTGAAAGAACATATATTTTAGTATTTTGAGATAAAAATAATAATTATCATCATTAATTTCTAAACTTTGGTGGAAAAGTTAAAAGGTGGATAATAAAATTAACTGATTTATAAAAAGAAGAAATGATGAATTGGATCTTTCAGGAGTTTGTTTTGGGCATTTATTTTTATTATTATTTATACCAGTTATTCAGATAGCAACTTGAACATAATTATTTTTAAAATTCTTAGGTAATTTAATGTGTAAAATGTGACTTATCCTGAAATGTTCGGTTTTGGCACTAACTTTTAATATTTAACTATTAGTATGACAAGTTTTTTGACAGAATGTTAGTCCTTGTTACTTATGTTCTGTCATAGTTATGAGACAAGTTTAATGCTTGAAAAAAAGGGCTGTATTGTCTATATGTTTTAAGTGTTGTGATGTTTCAAACTTGCCCTATTAATTTTAGTGAGACAAGTAAGTTTTTGTCTCCTGTTGGTCCTCACAAATTAGGTGTATGAAGTATCAACTTTTTATACCTTTTTTTCTCTGTTTCGTTTTTATTAAAGAAATAAGCTCCAAAAATTGTACAGATTGTGTATATGAATAACAAATCTCACAATGTATCTGTATCATGTACCTTATACTATAACTGTTCATAAATATTTAGAAAACATTACCTGAAGATACCTCATTTTTTCTTACTAACTTATGAATTATTATTGTCACTACTTTACCCATTTTTATGCTAGCAGTAAAGTTAATAATAATTTTAAGCACGGACTGAAAGATGTTTAATAATTTATTGATATAGTGTTATATGAAAGCAAAAACTTTTATGTTACACATTCATTATGTGTTTCTCTAAGTACATAAAACCAATCATTATTTGTGTGTCAAGCGCTGAAGGGTTTCTCAGTTTTTGAAAAATGTAATGTTTAACTTGGTAAGAGTTCAAATGGTTTGAGTATTTTAAATTACAATATTATTGGTCATAAAGGATGCATTGCTTTAAAAAGCAAATTTTTTATGAAATTATAACTTGAATATATATATTAATAAATCTTAACATTTCCTTTACAGTCTCACAACAAATTGCAGGAATTTGTGGATTATATAAAGGTAAGAAACCCACTTCATAAAAATGATTAGAGAAAAATAATTTTACAAAAAGTTCTTCCCTTGTTTTTTGTTTGAAATTATTTCCTTGATATTTTAACAGAATCTTTCCAATATTTCTTAAACTTGTATTTTATATTCATGTTTTGTGTTCCTTTCTAGAATAGAAATTAATCATCAGGATTCAATTTTTTCATAAAAACATTTACATCAATTTTACAAAGTACTTAATGTCTTAAGAATTGTTTTCTACAATTTAATAATCAAGTCTGAAATGTTTAATTTGCACAGCTTTTATGAGAAACTCATTTCTAAGATAATGAAACAATTAAGTTCAAAGATTTATTCTCAACTTTTTTTCTAGACACAAAAAGTTGTATTATTAGAAGACCTTGCAGCAAAATTTAAACTGAAAACACAGGTAAGTTGTCAGTTTAAACTAGCTTTATAATCTATAATTGTTTCATTGTTAAAAGTTTGAACAAAAGAATAGCATTTGCTAGAAACTTACAAGAATATTATAAATGATTTAAAAACGACATTTGTGTAAAAACATCTATTTACAACTAAAAGGAATACAACAACATATATTTTGTTGTCCTATGTAGTCCTTTTTTTAGGGCAAGTCCCTGTTTTTAATAATTATTTATTGTATAATGATTTTAATGTTGTATTCCTTTTAACTGTAAATAAAAAAAGAACATTATCTAAAAACTTGTTCTAACACAAGTTACTTTGTCTTTTACAGTTTTAAATAGCTATGTGAAAATAAACAATTATAGATAGTTGAAATTACTGTAAAATTATAACTACAAAAACATGAATTTATTTAACCCTATTGCCCCAGAAACCCTTTACTGTACATGACACAAGGTTTTAGTGTCTTACATTCAAAAATTTATTAAACTACTTTTTGTTTATGTTATACCAATTAGAATAGCATAAAATATTAGCAAATAATCCATATTTGAAT